TCATGCCTGTATTCCCAGGACTTTGGGAGGCCGAGGTGGGCGGATCAACTGATCAGGAGTTTGAGACCAGCCTGGCCAACAGGGTGAAACCTAGTCTCTACTGAAAATACAAAAATTAGCCAGGTGTGGTGACATGTGCCTATAGTCCCAGCTACTCAGGAGGCTGAGGCAGGAGAAATGTTTGAACCCGGGAGGTGGAGGCTGCAGTGAACTGAAAATATAGGAAAATTAAAAAAAAAGAAGCTTGTCATTCCATAATTAGGAGAAGGAGAAAACCATCTCTGAAATTTTGCTGTTTGGGCTGGGCATGGTGGTTCAGCCCTGTATTCCCTGCATTCTGGGAGACCAACCTGGGAGGATTGCTTGGGCCCAGGAGTTTGAGACCAGCCTGGGCAATGTAGTGAGACCTCATCTCTATAATTTTTTTTTTTTTTTTTTTGAGATTGAGTCTGACTCTGTTGCCTAGGCTAGAGTGCAGTGGCATGATCTCGACTCACTGCAACCTCTGCCTCCCGTGTTCAAGCTATTCTCCTGCCTCTTCCTCCCAAGCAGCTGGAACTACAGGCGCCCACCACCACACCCGGCTAATTTTTGTATTTTTAGTAGACACGGGGTTTCACCATATTGGCCAGGCTGGTCTCGAACTCATGACCTTGTGATCCCCTTGCCTCGGCCTCCCAAAGTACTGGGATTGCAGGCATGAGCCACCACACCCGGCCTATAATTTTTTTTTCTTTTTTTTTTTGAGATGGAGTCTGGCTTAGCCGCCCAGCCTGGAATGTGGTGGCACAATCCCAGTTCACTGCAACCACTGTCTCCCATGTTCAAGCGATTCTCCTGTCTCAGCCTCCTGAGTAGCTGGGATTACAGGCACCCGCCATCATGCCCAGCTAATTTTTTTTTTGTTTGTTTTTTGTATTTTAATAGAGATGGGTTTCACCATGTTGGCCAGGCTTATCTTGAACTCCTGACCTCAGGTGATCCGCCCACCTTGGCCTCCCAAAGTGCTAAGATTACAGGTGTGAGCCACCGTACCCGGCCAATTTTTTTTTTAATTAGCTGGGCCTGGTGCCCAGAAGCTCAAGGCTGCAGTGAGCTATGATCATGCCACTGCGCTCCAGCCTAGGTGAAAGAGTGAAACCTTGGCTCAAAAAGAAATTTTGCTGTGTTTGCCTTATACTTCTGACCATGGTGGAACAATTGATAGTGGATTAGTTCTCCCCCTGAAATCAACTGTAAAACTGGACAAAACATATGCAGCAACTATATTCTGGCAGTATAAAGTAAACAGCAGAAGACTGCAATTTCTGAGAGAAAGGAAACTCATGAGGTGAGCCCCATGATTGATCAGCTGTCTGCCTGGGGACAACTCCCTAACTATAATGCAGAGGGCTTGATTCTGAGCAGAGCATAGAGGTCCTGCTGACCGAGGTGGTAGATACGAGAGTCTGGGACCGCTGAGCTAAGTGAAATCTCTGGGGCCAGGCATTAGAGAGGAACCAAGCTATGCAGAAAGGTCCTTATCTATCAACACAGAAAAAGCATTTGACAAAATTTCTTTTTTTTTTTTCATTTTTTTCCCCACGCTACACAGGTGCTTTTTTTTTTTTCTTTTTCTTTCTTTTTTTTTTGAGAGAGTCTCGCTGTGTCACCCAAGCTGGAGTGCAGTGTCATGATCTTGGCTCACTACAACTTCTGCCTTCCAGGTTCAAGTGATTCTCCTGCCTAAGCCTCCTGAGTAGCTGGGACTGCAGATGCCCACCACCATGCCGTTAATTTTTTTTTTTATACTTTTAGTAGAGATGGGGTTTCACCATGTTGGTCAGTCTGGCCTCGAACTCCTGACCTCAAGTGATCCACCCACCTCGGCCTCCCAAAGGGCTTGGATTAGAGGTGTGAGCCACTGCACCTGGCTTTTTGTTTTGTTTTGTTTTGTTTTGTTTAGAGAGAGAGAGAGAGATGGAGTCTCAGTATGTTACCCCCAAGTTGGTCTAGAATCCCTGGGCTCAAGCAGTCCTTTCACCTCAGCCTCCCAAAGTGTTGGGCCTACAGGCGTGAGCCACCACGCTCAGCCCAACATTCAACAAAATTTAATAACCATTCATGCCATAAATTCTCAGGGAACTAGGAATAGATGAGCACTTCCTTTGAAGTTTAAGTAGAAACATGTACAAAAATTACAACTAGTATATTTGATGGTAAAACAGTGAAATGCTTTCTCCTCGAGACTGGGAATGAAGCTAGGATAACCACATTTACCACTTCCATTACATTGTTTCAGAGGTCTGATCGAATGTAGCAAGACAAAAATAAAGATAGGAAAATTCAAAAGTCGGCCGGGCGCAGTGGCTCAAGCTTGTAATCCCAGCACTTTGGGAGGCCGAGACGGGCGGATCATGAGGTCAGGAGATCGAGACCATCCTGGCTAACATGGTGAAACCCCGTCTCTAGTAAAAAATACAAAAAACTAGCCGGGTGAGGTGGCGGGTGACTGCAGTCCCAGCTACTAGGGAGGCTGAGGCAAGAGAATGGTGTGAACCCGGGAGGAGGAGCTTGCAGTGAGCTGAGATCCGGCCACTGCACCCCAGCCTGGGCGACAGAGTGAGACTCCGTCTCAAAAAAAAAAAAAATTCAAAAGTCCTGGAATTTGAAGACCCTAAGAACCAGGAGCTCCAATGTCTAAGCATGGGAGAAGATGAATGTCCCAGCTCAAAAAGAGAGAGAGTGAATTTGCCCTTCTTGCCCACCTTTGTGTGTGTGTGTGTGTGTGTGTGTGTGTGTGTGTGTGTGTGTATGTGAGTGACGGAGTCTCACTCTGTCACCCAAGCTGGAGTGCAATGATGCGATCTCGGCTCCCTGCAACCTCTGCCTCCTGGGTTCAAGCAATTCTCCTGTCTCAGCCTACTACGTAGCAAGTACTGCAGGCGCACACCACCATACCCAGTTAATTTTTGTATTTTTAGTAGAGATAGGGTTTCACCATGTTGGTCAGGCTGGTCTCGAACTCCTGACCTCAAGTGATCCACCTGCCTCAGCCTCCCAAAATGCTGGGATTACAGACGTGAGCCACCACGCCTGGCCTCTTCTTCCACCTTTTTATTCTATTTGGTTCCCAATGAATTAAATGATGCCCACCCACATTTATGAGGGCAAAACCTCTTTACTCAGTCAACTGATACAAATGCTGGTCTCTTCCAGAAACACCCTCACAGACACACCCAGAAATAATGTTTTACCAGCCATCTGGGCATCCCTTAGTCCACCCAAGTTGACCCCAAATTAACTATCGCACCATCTTACCAGCTCCCTTTCCCACATCCAAATAATCACTGAATCCTGTTAATGTAACTTCTAAGTCAGCTTAAGTTTTGGCATTCTCTCTTTTTCGGTACCAATTCTTAGATCAGTTCCTGGACTAATAAAATAATATCTTAACTGGTGATTCTGCCTAGAGTCAGCTCTTCACAAATAATCCTCTGTGTTGTTGCCAGGGTGTTCTTTTTTTTTTTTTTTTTGAGACGGAGTCTCGCTCTGTCGCCCAGGCTGGAGTGCAGTGACCGGATCTCGGCTCACTGCAAGCTCCGCCTCCCGGGTTTACGCCATTCTCCTGCCTCAGCCTCCCGAGTAGCTGGGACTACAGGCGCCCGCCACCTCACCCGGCTAGTTTTTTTGTACTTTTTAGTAGAGACGGGGTTTCACCGTGTTCGCCAGGATGGTCTCGATCTCCTGACCTCGTGATCCGCCCGTCTCGGCCTCCCAAAGTGCTGGGATTACAGGCTTGAGCCACCGCGCCCGGCTGCCAGGGTGTTCTTTCTAAGATCTTTCTCTAACTATGTCATTTCCCCATTTAAAACCCTCTGCAGTACAGGACAAAGTTCAAATTCCTTTACATCTGAATCCCATTCTCCACCTTATGCATTGCACTAGAACATCGTACATCTCTTTATTTCCTGCACACATCATGCTCTTGTATATGGTGTTTCTGCTGCCTGGAATGTCCTTTCCACCTTGACTTCTTGCTGCATACCTATTCATCCTTTCAAATCTGATGCCTGCAACACTTGCTGGTGTTCTGTGACACTTTCCTGAACCTCACAGTGAGAATATCCTCCTCTGCACTATTTCACGGCCTTGCACATAGTTCAGTTGTTTCACACATCACACACTGTTGTGTTATGTATTGACATGGCTGTCTTCATAACTAGGCTCTGAGCACCTTAAAGGCTGGGACTGACTCCAGTCAGTCTAATGCAAAGGACAGTGCTGTTATGGAAATGTTTATTGAACTGAACTGAAAATCCTGCCACATAAAGAGAGCTTAGGAAGGACAGAGAAGAGAGAGAATGCTGAAAATGCCAAGCATAAACTTTGCAGTGGCTGAACTGTAAGAAGTTCACCCAAAGAATCAGCTCTGAGTCATCCCTCTTGAGGTTCAAAATCACACAAATGAAGCAACTGAACGTAGAATTTAACCACTTACTTTGAAGAGGGTTTCTTGCTAGCCATTCAGGAAAACACAAAATGATGCAAATATCTTTTTAAAATAAAGAATATGTAGAAATTCAAATCAAGTATTAAAATGTAAAACTAGTTCACCTCCTCAGAGAGAATGAATAACTTGGAAGAGGAAAAAATGGTCTAAAAATTTCTATTAGTATAGTATCTCTTCTTTCTCTTGCATTATCATTTTGTATTTTCTAAGAGATAGAACTCACTTTCTGTTCCTACCGTTTTATGAGGCCTCTATTTTAGCAGTAAATTGATTGAATTACTGCCTGAAACTCTACATTTTAGATGAAATATTATAAATAGGATGTTCTGTGAATTGCGGTTACTTGTTACATAAAGGAACAGCTATAAAAATGCATCCGAATAGGTAAGACATTTTGAAAAGCAAGATTTTGTATTAAACTGTCTGTGATGCACTGTAATAGGTTAGTCCAAAAATATTAACTTGTTTTTCTTTTTTTTCTTTTTCTTTTCTTTTTTTCTTTTTTTAGCTCAAAGGACCTGGCATAAAAATATTAACTTGTAATAAAAGTGTTTAGTAGCACTAATATGTGATGGCAATTTCAGGAATGTCAATGTTCTGAGCAAGAAGAACAAGGAACAGAAGGTATAATGATAACAGATGACAGAGGAAAAAGCAGACTCAATCAACTCCTACTTTTCCATCATTTTTCCATTACAGAGAATTATCCTCAAATTAGAAAGAGTAGGACCTACGTGGTAAAGAAAAAATTTACGTGCCAGGCAGATGAGGAAGTAAGACAGCATCCAGCCCCTTCACACAACTTCATTCTCTGTCTTACTGAAACAATGTGAAATGTGGTGGCAACTTTACTGGGGACAGGAGAGGTGCCAGAAGTTTGAAGATGGACTAATGTCCTCGTTTTCTAAAAGAAGAACCTATAAGTCTCTGAGCACATTTCTCCTTGGCAAAATTCTGGAATGCATAATTAGACAAATGGTTTGTGAATCTTTAGAAAAGTGGCAAAAACAAGGCACAGCATAAATTCACTGAAAAATAAGTGGACCTAAACTAAGCATTCTTTCTTCCTGATAGGAATCCTACTTTCCTTGATCTGACACCTGCAGGGTATTGGCCTTGGAGTCAGCTGAGGCTGAATTCCAATTCCAGTTCCACCACTCCAAAAGTGACACTTGGACACCAAATTCTCCGAGACCCTCCTGTAATGCGAGTGCAGTGGAGCTACCTTGGGGTTAGCGCGCTCTCCCCCAGGGCCTTCCTTGAGACCAATGTCACACATGGTCTCATTACAAAACAGTAACAACAAAAATCCCAACTTTGGAAGCATTAATAAATAATGGGGGTTATATTATACATAACAAAGCAAAATCTTCATAAAAATCATCTTCTATAACCCGAGTCTGGCCGAGTGTGGTAGCTCACGCCTGTATTCCCAGCACTTTGGGAGGCCAAATTGGGCAGATCGCTTGAGCCCAGGAGTTCCAGACCAGCCTGGGTGACATAGGAAAACCCCATCTCTACAAAAAATACAAAAATTAGCTGGGCATGGGGTGGGTGACTGTACTCCCAGCACAAGGGAGTCTAAGGCAGGAGGATCACTTGAGCCCAGGAGTTTAAGACCAGCCTGGGTAACGTAGTAAGGCCCCATCTCTTCCAAAAATAAAAAAATTAGGCCAGGCACAGTGGTTCACGCCTGTAATCCCAGCACTTTGGGAGGCCAAGGCAGGTGGATTACCTGAGGTCAGGAGTTTGAGAGCAGCCTGGCTAACATGGTGAAACCATGTCTCTACTAAAAGTACTAAAATTAGCCAGGTGTGGTGGCGGATGTCTGTAATCCCAGCTACTTGGGAGGCTGAGGCAGGAGAATCCCTTGAATCCAGGAGGCAGAGGTTGCAGTGAGCCAAGGTTATGCCATTGCACTCCAGCCTGAGAAACAAGAGTGACACTCCGTCTCAAAAAAAAAAAAAAAAAAATTAGCTATGTGTGATGGTGGACACCCATAGTCTCAGCTACTGGGGAGGCTGAGGTGGGAGGATCACTTGAGCCCAGGAGGTCAAGTCTGCAGTGTGCCGTGATTGCACCACTGCACTCCAGCCTCAGCAACAGAGCAAAAAATAGAATCTGACACCTTCCCTAAAATTCTTCCCTTAGGAATCTACATCATTTCCTTCACCTCTTAACTCCCTGAAAACAACAAAAACAAAACAAAACAAAACAAAAAGCAACGACTACTTTCTCTACAACTTCTCCAGGCATACTTCTCTTTCTCTCCCAATGGTCATTAAAAGAAAAGGCAGCCAACAATATTTGGAAAAACAAACATGTGGTTAGCTAAAACTAGACCACACTCATGTATGCCTTACGGGTCCTCAATTCTTGTCCCGTAATAAAAATTAAAACAATAATACCTCAGAAAGTTTTTGAGGGGACTAAGTTAAAAGTAATCTATCAAGTTTAGGTGTGATGGCTCACACCTATAATCCCACCACTTTGGGAGGACAAGGCCATAGGATGGATTGAGGCCAGGAGTTCAAGAGCAGCCTGAGCAACATATCAACACGTTGTCTCTACAAAAAAACAAAAATAATTTTTTTTTTTTTTGAGACAATGTCTTGCTCTGTCAGCCAGGCTGGAGTGCAGTGGCACGATCTTGGCTCACTGCAAACTCACCTCCCGAGTTCGAGCGATTCTTGTGACTCAGCCTTCCAAGTAGCTGTGATTACAGACATGCACCACCACACCTGGCTAATTTTTGTATTTTTAGTAGAGAAGGGGTTTCACCATGTTGGCCAGGCTGGCCTCAAACTCTGATCTCAAGTGATCCACCTGCCTCGGCCTCTCAAAATGCTGCGATTACAGGCAAGAGCCACTGTGTCCAGCCTCTACAAAAAAATTTTTTAAATTAACTGGGTGTGGTGGTATGCACTTGTAGTCATAGCTACTTGGGAAGCTGAAGCGAGAGGATTGCTGGAGCTACAATGAGCCATAACTGTGCTATTGCACTCCAGCCTAGGTGACAGAGCAAGCAAGACCCTGTCTCAAAAAAACCCCCAAACACACACACACACACACCACAAAAAAAAAAAAAAAAAAAAAAAAAAAAAAAAAAAAAAAAAAAAAAAAAACCCCAAACACACACACACACACACACACACACACTCTCTCTCTCTCTCTCTCTCACTCACTCTTAAAGCTTGACCAGGCCACTCAATAAATGATAGTTTTTATTATTCATTACTATTCTTACTACTGTAGTAGATCAAGAAAATGGTGTGGAACCTATGTCCTTCTTATTTAGAGGCATTCGACAAATCTTCATGAAGAAGGAGGGCTGGATAATAGCACAGTTTATTGGAAGCTGAGATTATGCAAAGGTTGAAATAGAAATTTCTAGCAATTTGTCAAAGGCCTCTATGACCCTTTACTGTTAAACCTTTTTATGAATGACTTGGCATGAACAAGCATGGAGGAAGCATGCTTGTCAAATCTGCAGATAATACAAAATGGGCTTGATGGGTCAACGGCTGAGTGACAGAATGCGCATTTCAGGAGATCTAAACAGGCTGAGCCAAGAAGTAATTTAACCTAAAGCTGAGTGTGTATGCTTGAAAAACATAACTACTGCATAAAAACAGAATGATGAGACTTGGATTTACTAGTATTTCAAGTGAAAAAATACTGGAACATCTTGTTGACTACAAGCTCAAAAATGAACCATCAGTCGTTGTATAAAACCTAAATAGCAATTGCAACAATGATGGCCCTACACAGAATATTTCCTTCTTTTTCTTTTCTAAAATAATTTTTAATTAAAAAGGAAATACAGATGGGGTGTTCTTATGTTGCCCAGGCTGGTCTTGAACTCTTGTGCTTAAGCAGTCCTTCCATCTCGGCCTCCCCAAAGTGCTGGGATTACACATGTGAAGCCACGATGCCCAGCCTATGTTCTTATTTCCCTACAGCATCAAGTAGTGATGTCATAGCCTGAAGATCCCACGTTCTAGTCTTGGCTCTCCAGCATTTACTAGCTGCATGACCTTGGGCATGTTGATGAATCTTTCTGAGTCCTAATCCCGCAATTCAAAAGATGTAGGGAGGGGAGTTTGGACTAATTTATTACTGTGTGTGTGTGTGTGTGTGTGTGTGTGTGTGTGTGAATGAGACAGGGTCTCACTCTGTCACCCAGGCTGGAGTGCAGTGGTTCAATCATAACTCACTGCAGACTTGAACTCCTGGGCTTAAGCAATCCTCCTGCCTTAGCCTTCTGAGTAGGTGGAACTATAAGCATGCACCACCATGCCTGGCTAATTTTTTTTTTTTTTTTTTTTTGAGACAGAGTCTCTCTTGCCCAGGCTGGAGTGCAGTAGCATGATCTTGGCTTGCTGCAACCTCCACCTCCCAGGTTCAAGTAATCCTCCTGCCTTAGCCCCTCTAGTAGCTGGGATTATAGGCACATGCCGCAACGCCCGGCTAATTTTTGTATTTTTAGTAGAGATGGGGTTTCACCATGTTGGCCAAGCTGGTCTCGAACTCCTGACCTCAGGTGATCCATCCACCTCAGCCTCCAAAGTTCTGGGATTACAGGCATGAGCCACCATGCCCAGCCACGCCTGGCTAATTTTTTTTTTTTTTAATTACACTTTAAATTCTGGGATACACGTGGAGAACATGCAGGTTTGTTACATAGATATAGACACAACTTGGTGGTTTGCTGCACCCATCAACCTGTCATCTACATTAGGTATTTCTCCTAATGCTATCCTTCCCCTTGCCCCCATCCCCTGACAGGCCCCAGTGTGTGATGTTCCCCTCCCAGTGTCCATGTAATTTCATTGTTCAATTCCCACTTATGAGTGTGAACATGTGGTGTTTGGTTTTCTGTTCCTGTGTTAGTTTGCTGAGAATTATGGTTTCCAGCTTCATTCATGTCCCTGCAAAGGACATGAATTCATCCTTTTTTATGGCTGCATAGTATTCTATGATGTGTATGTGCCACATTTTCTTTATCCAGAAAATGTGTATGTGCCATATTTTCTTTATCCACATTTTCTTTATCCATTGATAGGCATTTGGGTTGGTTCCAAGTCTTTGCTGTTGTGAACAGTGCTGCAATAAACATACACATACATGTGTCTTTATAGTAGAATGCTTTATAATCCTTTGTGTAATGCCCAGTAATGGGATTGCTGGGTCCAATGGTATTTCTGTTTCTAGATCCTTGAGGAATCACCACACTGTCTTCCACAATGGCTGGACTAATTTACATTCCCACCAACAGTGTAAAAGTGTTCCTATTTCTCCACATCCTCTCCAGCATGTGTTGCTATCCTGACTTTTTAATTATTGCCATTCTTTTTGTTTTTGTTTTTGTTTTTGTTTTTGAGACAGAGTCTCGCTCTGTTGCCCAGGCTGGAGTGCAGTGGTGCAATCTTGGCTCATTGCAAGGCTCCGCCTCCCAGGTTCACGCCATTCTTCTGCCTCAGCCTCAGGTGTAGCTGGGACTACAGGTGCCCACCTCCCCACCCGGCTAATTTTTTGTATTTTTAGTAGAGATGGGGTTTCACCGTGTTAGCCAGGATGGTCTCGATCTCCTGACTTTGTGATCCGCCTGTCTCGGCCTCCCAAAGTGCTGGGATTACAGGCGTGAGCCACCGCGCCCAGCCTTTTTTTTTTTTTTTTTTTTTTTTTGAGAGGGGGTCTCGCTCTGTTGCCCAGGCTGGAGTGCAGTGGCATGATCTCAGCCCACTGCAAGCTCTGCCTCCCGGGTTCACACCATTCTCCTGCCTCAGCCTCCTGAGTAGCTGGGACTACAGGCGCCTGCCACCACACCTGGCTAATTTTTTGTATTTTTAGTAGAGACGAGGTTTCACTGTGTTAGCCAGGATGGTCTCGATCTCCTGACCTCATGATCTGCCTGCCTCGGCTTCCCAAAGTGCTGGGATTACAGGTGTGAGCCACCACGCCTGGCCCTAATGATTGCCATTCTAACTGGCGTTTTGATTTGCATTTCTCTAATGACCAGTGATGATGAGCTTTTTTTCATCTGTTTG